CAGGGATGTTGCCTTCTGTTACGGGGATAGGCCTAATTGATGGTGTTCTTGGTGAACAACCCTTAGCATTTCCCCAGCAACCTAAAACTCTTATTAAAGGTGTACATTTTTCTGCTGTTTTGAATTAGTCTGGTCAGTAACTCCTTTTCCTTGAGTGCCCCTTTATAGTTTTACTTTGTGTACCTCGATATGTCCTAAGCAACTTTACTAGATCCTTCATAACATCAATTTACTATTCCCACTTCCTTCTACATCAAAAAGAAATGCTGAAGGCTTAAGGGCTCCTGCAAGGACACCACTGGGATGAGAACTGGCACTCACTCAGGACCAGGTTTTTATTGTTGCTTCTTGGAAAATAGTTGAGACTAGATGAGAACATCACCTGGTAATCTTGAACCTATAAAAGATGGTCCTTCTTCCCATAATCCTAAAACTCCTTACTACATGGAGTATGCTAAAAACATACTTTTGAACATATTTTTAACATATTTTTAACAAGAATGTATCTTGTGATGGATGTACTTTTAACACACTTCTGTTTCTTCTGTCCCCATGTAAAGCTGTTAAGAAAAGCCAGGAACAGTAAGACTTTTATAACTGAAAACAACTTCAAGGCCAGGCAGTGGCGCACACTTTTAATCCCACCACTTGGAAGGAGAGGCAGATGGCCTCTGAGATCAAAGGCCAGCCTGGTTACAGAGCAAGTTCTAGGACAGCCAGGGCTACACAGAGAAACCTTATCTCAAAAACCAAAAAGGAAGGAAGGAAGGAAGGAAGGAAGGAAGGAAGGAAGGAAGGAAGGAAGGAAGGAAGGAAACTCAACTAAATGATTGGACACTGACAAAATCAATCAATGAATATTACACAAAATGGGATCATTAGTGTGCATCACTGATCTGCTACTCAGCTATATTTTTAAGCCTTTCCTCCTCCTCCCTTTTTTTCTAAATCTTTCCTTTTATGAAACACAGTTGCTAGAAAAGCTATGAACCAAGCAACAGGTATAATCACTATATCTCCTCTTAGCTGACTGGAACTTTTAAGATGACTTGAAATTTCATGAAAAGATGAGAAACTGGGCTTTTTATTTTTGCAGATTCAAAAAACCCCACACTGAAGCTTTTGTAGAAATCAGGACTGAAAAACAGAGCTTCCTCATCAGGATGTCTGGGTGTAAGTAGTGCTGATCTGGAAATCAGGTGACAAAACAGTGCAAACGTCTGAAAGTGCTTTCACACTCCCTATAACCCAATAGTGACTTTAAGGTAGGCATTAGTAGGCACCCAAATCTGTTTGTTCCTTTCCCTACAGAAGACCTCTTGCAACTGGCCCTCAGGCTGTCAAGCCAGGCTGGTTGTTTAGTTCTGGCCCCTCACAGTCTGAAACAAAAATCTGCTTATCTCTTTTAGCTTTAATTGATAGACCACGAGGGCTTCATGTTCCTGAAAGGACAGCCAGAACATAATGGAAGGAACTGAAGTGGGAACTGGTGCATGGAAGATGTCTGTGTTAGATCTTGGTGGCAGCTAGAAACAAGCTCTGCTGAGGTACCACTGAGATGCTGGCATCTGGTCACAGCACACTGTAGAACCAGTAGCTGAGAAGGAACTGAAAGGACAGCTGCCTTGACACACACACTGAGATAAGACAACTGTAAGCAGAAGCAAGATAGGAGCCCCACAGGATTACCTAGCATGCAGAATGGAGCCAGAGCAGAGAGATGGGAATGTAAGCTAGCTGCTGTGTGACGACTGTAGCTAGGAAGCTTCTTGATGGGTCCAAAGATGTGCTTTTCTTTGCAGACTCCTAGAAATATTTGAGTAAGTTGTTGGGAAGTTTGGATTCTATCCAAATCTTCAAAACAGTAAAGCTCTTTGATAGTCCACTGTCTCAGAAAATAAACTATGTCAAGCCTTTCCTCTGTTAATGGAAGACTTCAGCAGGCCATGTTATCGCTAGCAACAGAAGAGCTGTGGTACCAGCGTGGCACAGTAACACTATGGGTCCAATAGTAGCACACACACTCTGGTGGTAACCAACAGCTCTCTAATTGGACTTAAGATACACTCAACAAGAGAGATACTGCGCCTGGTACTGAAAAGCTAGCTCACTACTCAGTGCTGGTTTGGGGAGGAGACTCTACAGCCAGGACAAACCAGCATATGTGTACATCTCTATCATCCCCTCCAAGGCTCAGAGAATATTGTTAAAGAGGTGTCTGGAGGGAATGTAAAAGGCAGAAGAGGTATAGCAGTTTTTTCCAAACTGAAACATTTCCTCAGAGAGGTGGGGTGGAGGGTGGGAGCTGGGTCATGAGGCTCAGGAGGTAAACAAAGTTCCCTCTTTGGGAAAGCTGAGACTGCAACATTTAGGAGCACCACTCTCCGGTTAACTGAAACAGTAAACAACCCCTGGGGGAGGAGCCTGGCCTGCAGAGCTGCTGAGAGATCTCTTAGACCTGCAAGCTGTGCAGAGCTCTGCGGATGCAGCTTTTAAGATGTCTCCCGTGTTAGGTGGGTTTCCTGTGATACAGCTGCTGTTGAGTTATTTTATGACAGTAAGTCATCATCTGTGACCCTGTATGCAGTGACCCTGCCATACTGTGACCCTGTTATGCAGTGGCCACTGCTATACAGTCACCCCAATAAAAACTCATTGTTTCACCAAGTGCAATCACATTGGTTTGCAGTGACTTCCATTTCTAGGGCTAATGGGTTTAATGGATTTGAGAGAGAACATGTTGTATCTCTGGAAAACTCTGCACACAACAAATGTCACCCTGGTACCAGAACTGCAGAATCACTGTATAATTTTCGAATATTATTGCTTACAACCTACAAAAATTACATAAAATGGTTCCCAACAAAAGTATCTTTGGAGAAATACCTGAAAACCCAAAAGCAAGTGATGAACTTAACAAAAAGAGCCAAGGAACAGGTGGCATAAGAAAGTAGGAGCAGAATAGCTTTAAGCTGTCAAAAAGTAAGGACTTACAAGACAGATATTGTGTAAGACGGTCCATACATACACTCTTGCGTGTCCCATACTCTCACATAATGTGTCTCTTTGTATGCCGCACAGCCATGAAATCTAGAGAATCAGATTGGACAGTTGTCCATGCTCTGCAAAATTGTTCACTAACTTGCTGTAACCTGGCTTCCTGCTGTAGCTGGAATAATATCCGCTCATGTTCAGACTTCCCCGAGCTGATCAGGATCCTGTACACACTGGCTTCATGTCCTACCAATTCTAATGAACTGGCTTTCTTTCAGGTCCTTGGAAAGTCTACACTAGTTGTTATATCAAGGCCATTGCATTGTCTAGAAAGCTTTTCCCTTGCCTACCATCTTGCCATGTATTTCCTATAAGTTCAATTTAAATCCACCCCTCACTTCCTGGTCAGTCTATCATAACCCTTTCCCTGCATGTCTCTTAGTCACTGCCCAAAACTCTTTTATTTGCTATTTTGGTTTCTGTCTCCATCCTCTTCCACAGAGCATAAGCTGTACATCAGGGGTCTTCTGTGCTTCACTCACGGCTTTGGCTTACCTGATACCTAGGAAAGGAATGAACAAATAAATCAATAAGGGTAAAGGGGCCCACAATAGAATTACCTCAGGGGAGGGGTAGATTTGACAAAGAAAAATGAGACTAAAGAAGAAAATTAGGGACAGAACAGTAGGAGGGCTAAGCGGTTCTGGTAAATACCTTTTATATACACCCTATGCAGAGGGGGATGTCCAAGGAGGGCCTTTTTCACAGCTACTTTTCACTTTGCAGTCATAGTTTTGTCTTTCAGAGTGTTGAAGGCACCAGTCCCCAAGACTGCTCTATTGGGCTGGAGGTGTTCAAACATCTTCCTGGGGCTTCGATGGAGTGAAGGAATGATGTACCTAGTTTATATCAGTGAAAGCTGAGTTAGTTGGGTGGCCCCAATGTATCTTTATCTGAAAGCAGTGTATTGCTTTCACTGGCATTGCTCATGACTGTGGTTGCTTAGAGTCAGCAAGCTGTTGTCCAGTTTGCTTTGTTGCTGCCTGATGTAAGTGTGTGCATACGGTAATGGTGGTAGAGATGCTGTTTGACACACAAGAAAAAAAAATCCGTACATAAAAAGATAGACAGGCCTGGAGAGATGGTTCAGAGAGGACCTGAGTTTGATTCTGAACTGCTCGGGCAGTTCACAAGACCCCAGCTTCAAGGGCTCTGCTAGATCCAAAGCTTCTGGCCTCCATGGATATGTGTGTTTGTGTGTGCATAAATGCACATATATTTAAAAAAGAGAGACATCTTTAAAAAATTTTAAGAGAATTATAAGTTATGAATAGTGCATGTTGGTAATCAAAGCACAGGATTGTAAGTATAAGGCATGGGTAACAAACAGGTCAGACCCTGTATAAAATTCAAAGAATTAAAAAAGCAAAACAAAACAACAACAAAAAACAGAAGATGACAGAATTCTCTTCAGGAAGCCCCAGTACCTTCCTTTTAACTGGTATACTGATGCAGAAACACCTGGCTTCTTTAGCCTAATGATGATAATCTAAATTCTGAAAGGTGACCGAGAGTATTTGATTTCCATTCTGACAGCCTATGCTATCCTAGGGGATGAGAACCTCAGCTCTCCTATAACCCCTTGCTCAGGACTTAAAGAAGACTTTAGCACTGGCATAAAGACGGTTAGCTGCCTTTTCCACTTCATAGGCCTCAACATCTCTGGGTTCGAACTTGTTCACCCGGAGAGCAAGGGTGATCAATCCTTCCATTCTCCCTGGATGCTTGTGGGCAGATCTCAAGATAAATATCACGATGAAAATTTAAAAGCAAACACAATGTGACATCCAAGCTGGGCAACAGCTTAAATCCTAATATAATTATTCATCCTCATGAAGAGAGTTGCTGGCTGCTCGTTTAGTATTATCCAGGGACATTTGCTTGTAAGATTTCAGAGAAGGAAGTTTCAGGTGTTAGTCCTGGAATAAGTTCAACAAGAGTCCCAGTTCATGAACAGTTGGTTTTTATTTGATTTGAGGTGGGGCTAGATATAAGCTGAACTTCCCATCCTTAGAAGCCACAATGAAAAGCCAGCCTCTATTTTTAGCAGTGGTTGGGCTCAAACAGCTACTATACAGGTGTCAGCCACACGCCTTATGTCCCCACTAAAGAGTATCACAAGTATTTTACTCATAACACACCAGTGAGAGTTAGGTAGATGGCTCAGTTGATAAAGTACCTGCCACATGAGCATGAGGATCTGCGCTTGTTCCCAGCACCCAAGCAGAAAGCATGCCTATAGTGCCTGGGGGGAGGGCACTAGGGGAGGCAGAGGCAGGAAGTTGTCTGGAGTTTGCTGCCTAGCCAGTCTAGCCAAAATGGTGAACTCGATGTTCAGTGAGACACCCTGTCTCAAAAATGACAGCAGAGAACAATTGAGGGAGACACTGGATGTCCACCTCTGCCCTCCATACACATATGCACACACACGAACATGTTCCCACATGCATAATACGCCACCATCCACATACAATTTTAAAAATGTAAATGTAAAGATATTCTCTTTCACACACGTGTACCCCTCCATGAACATACAAGTGGGGGCTTTTGACTTCACAAACCATACTTGGTCTTCTATACTATAGTGTCACCAGTAGAAAATAAGCCAGATGTGGTGGCACACGCTTGTAATCCCAGGACTCAGGAAGGCAGAGGTAGATGAATCCCAGTGAGTGCGAGGTCAGCTTGGTCTACAAAATGGGTCCAGGGCAGCCAAGGCTACACAGAGACACCCGGTCTCAAGAAGGGGGGGGACAAAAAGAAAAGAAAATGAAATGGCAGTGAACCTTAGGGCAGTAAAGGTAGGGAGAAGGCTATGCTCCTCGTATGGAAGTCATTCTCTGTCTCCTTCTGGACTGTGCACCAGGCAAGGAATCAGGCTACGACAGAAATGTTCAACATTAATTTTGTATTTAACTGAAGCAACTGGACTTGGGTAATTCAGAAAGTCGTTTCACACTTTTCTGTGGCTTAAAGCTCTCATCAATAGCCTTGGCTCTGCGTACACTACTGGTATTTGGAGAAAGAAGTCACTGTATCACAGAAGAACCAGATCACTGTCTCCAAGACAATGGGCACAGCACAACTTGTGACATTTTTATTGTACCAGGTCAAGGAAAACAAATAGAATATGTCTGCATGATCCTGCCTTTTTGGCCAGGTATTCTAAGCACATATCCATTCTCATACTTGTGGGAAAGGAATCCATTCCAAAAGCATCTGACTGCTCATATTCTACCCCTAAAATCCGAAACACGAGTCTTACACCACTGTGCACAAGATTTTTGGCAGTCACAAGCTCTGTCACAAGGCAGAACTTACAGACAACGGGAGAAGAGAACTGTCTCTGACGTTCGTCCTCATCGTGGGGCACACTGCATGAGGCAGTGTGGCTGTGTGGAGGGACAGAGATCCAGACTTGTGGCTAACTGCTGCTTACAGAGGACCAGCAGTCAAGGTTTTCCACTCAGATGCATTCCCGCTGTCCCTGTGCGTTTACACCTAGCAACATTAAACAATGAAATATTAAGCAAGCAATTATGCCTAAATAAAGGATTTAATGTATGCCTCTCCAGGATAGAGCCAATTGCAGAAGGGCATTTCTCGGCATTCCTAGAGCAGACTGGGGTGAAAATTGTACCTCAGGCTAGAGAACAGCCCGATGTGTTTCACAAGGTTGGGCTCCACCACATACGCCCGCTCCCCCTTGGCTCTCAGCAGAGAGTACAATGCCATGTCTTTGCCAAAGCCCTTGTGGCAGTACACCTGGGACAGGTATGTGAGGGTCCTGCGGGCTGCAGGGGCAGGGAAGAGCATAGCTGGGGTACAACACTGAGAAGCAGGAACCACACTGTACAAGGAGGGGCTCAGGCGCCGCAGTTCCAGGAAATAGTGCCGGCCCACCAGTTCCACCAGCCCCATGCTGTACAGGGAGAAGAACAGCATGACCGGCCAACTGAAGCCTGGGCGGCAGGCAAACTTCATGTATATCCAGGTCAGCGCAGGCCCCAGCAGCATGCCCACACCAACCCACTCCAGGATTCGCATGGGCTCCGGGTTGATGTAGTGCTGTAGCCGCTCCGGGTGATAGAGCTTTAGATACAGGGCATCCTGGAGGTGTGGCTCAGAGAAGCGAGCACGCAGAAGGTGCTCCAGTACAGGGAAGATCTGTTCTTCTGGAATAGCGTCATCCTCCACCATCAGGACATAGTCTGGGTTGTAGGTCTGTAGCGACGACTCCAGGCAATAGACATAGTCTTGCTTCTCTTTCTCAAATGAATTGGTTGAAGGGTCATCACCGTAATCATCTTCGGTGCCCTCATAGCGGTTGGCCACAGGGACATACTTAGAGAGCAGCTTAGCATCAAAATGGCTCACACTCCGTTCCACATTGCACAGGAAGAGCTGGTGCCCCTCACACTGCGGACCGCACTGCTGCAGAAGCCGATGGAACTGGGACACAACTTGTAAGACGTAGTGAAAGCCAGGTTGCCTATCCACGGTGATTATGGTGATCACCAGCCAGGGCCGGGGAGTGGCCTGCCAGACGATGGGCACAGAACCATTGGCAGAGGGCAGCTCTTCGAAGTAGTGAAGGGCAGCCTCCCCCTCCTTCAGGCTCTGCTGCAGGAACTCCTGGCTCATCTGGTTTAGATGCCAATGGCGCAGATAGAAGTATGAGTGCAGGAGCCGGTGACACGCCAGAGGGGCCAGTAAGCCAAAGGTCACCACAGTTAGAATGAAGAGCTGGACAGCAGTGCTGCCCCAGGAAAGTCGCCGAAGCCTCCGGAGAAGCATGGCAGCTGGAGAGGTTGAAGTAGTCATGAGGTCAACTTTTGGTCATGTCTGGTCCCAAGAACAAACCATTCTGGATCTCAGGCCAGAATCATTAAGTCAAACCTAAAGGGAGAAAGTAGAATCAGAAAACAATACTTTAAAGAATTCCAACAATGCACATATCGAATCAGAAATTCTAGTTCACATTCATGTAACCACTAGAGACTTGAAAAGAACTGTCCGCAGTAATTGTTTTCCTGGGTTCTGTCTGCCAGTGAGCATTGCCATGCTCTCACTGTTTGTGATTAGAGGCACCCTGTGCATTCAATCAACTCTCCCTGCCCCATTAATGATATGATGTTAGCTTCGGTGCGTCATAAATCACCAGCAGTTAGTGAAACTATTATTTTGATTCACTAGCTATAGAGACATAGGTGTTAACATAGACACCCAGAAAAAAAAAGGCTGGACATAGAAGAAAGACACAGAGAGTAAGCTGCAGCATACATGCATAGTACTTGACTGTGTAATTTCTGAAAATCTTTCCTACATATTCCAGCGAATAAAAAAGGAGTCCTTGGCCGTGCTTGTTATTTAATGGCATCTTTGATTTCTCTAATCTCATTTAGTCAAATCATTTTAATTCTGACTGTCCTCCTAACTTGTTTGTATAGGACTATCATTAGAACCAGTGGGAGAAAATATTCCGTATGCAAGCAAACTGTAGACTTTGAGAGGGAAGGGAAACAACCCAATGGAGACTCCACAATGGGGCTTTTCAGTGAGGTGGGTAAGGTAAGGCAGAGGAAGAAACAGCCTGATCCAGAAAGGAATGTCTTTGGACATGATGACTCAGAGAATGGGTGTAAGGCATGAACCCCAGGTCTGCTACTTAAATGGTGGGAAGTCACTTCATCTCTCTATATTCTGGATTTCTTGCCTCTAAAATAGAAACAATCTCTGTCTCATGGGTTAACTGTGGATATTACACGTTAGAGAGCAAAGTTAAACAGAATTAAAATGTCATTAAAATATGTCTCGTGAAGCTGGAGAGACAGTGAAGTTAGTAAAGCGCTTGCCATTTAAACAGAGAACCGGAATTTGAACCCTAAAACCAGCTTCTCCCCAAAACTGTATGTGAAAACACATTCTTATAATTCCCTGGCTAGCCAGCTTGGCCTGCTGCTCAAACTCCCTGACAGTTCACAGACCCTAGATTAAAGGCAAAGTTAGAGAATCATAAAGTGGCTTAGTGGAAAGAGTCCCTGCTGTGTAAGCGTAAGGACCTAAGTTCAAATCCCTAGACCGCACATAAAAGTTAGCCGAGGTAGCACGAGCTTACAATGCCAGCATTTCTGTGGGGAGATGGGAGCCCAGACAGAATCCCTGAGAGCTTGGAAGCAGCAAGTCTGGTGTGGGCAGCTGTGAGAACATCTCAAACAAGGGAGAAGGGAAGGAGCGGTAGTAAGTAAAGGTTTGTCTTGTGACTCGTGCGACCCACCGTGGCACATCTGTATACATGAACATGAAAACACATACACACCCGTCAAAAGAAGAAAAGAAGAAGCCTGAGACATGTGAGATTCACTCTTAGCCTCCACATGCACACCGGACACGTGTGCCTGCACAAAGTGCACGTGCACATATGTCCCTCCCCTGAACAGTGCAACTGATGTTCACAGTCACGTAATATTTGAGAAGCGAGACATTCTAACGTTTTGATGGAGAAAAGATTCACCCCAAACAACAGAATTGAGAACAATGAAGCTAGTATAAAAGTATGAGGCTAAATGCAAGACTAAGCCGGGACTGTAGCATCGAATGTATACTCTTGCCTCAGAAGCCTGACGGCTTGTGGCCTTTTGGAAGAAAATGGTTCAGCCTGTGAGTGCTCTCCATGAGGTCGCAGTTGTACTGTTTGCCATTGCTCCCATGTCTGCATTCTGCCTTTAGCCATCACACTGAACTTCATTTCCTAGCCTGCCTCCTTCAGGGTAGGGGGTCACAGGACGAGGACTTGCCAGGAAGATGGGAGCTGGAGAGCCTCTATGGATCTAGAAGGGGGTCTTCCCCAACTACTCACCTCTTTCCTCCTGATGCCTGCACTGGTTAGTGTTGTGAGCTGCATGTAGAGCATTGTGTCCAGCCACTAATGATTTTTGGACTTGTTCTGCTGGAGAGTTATTCTGACCTGCCCTCTACAGTCACGCAGAACATCAAATATATCTCTTCTGTGTTGTGATACAGCTCAAAGAAGTCTGCAACAGAGGACCATCTGGGTACCCAGATGTGAGTCAAACTATCTGGAGAACACTAAGGAATGAAAGAAGCAAGGAAGTTTTGGAAGCACGTGACCCAAGGCTTGCTGCTCTGTGAGCATCAGTATGCTGTAGACTGGTTCTTCCTCCCTCCGATCTGCTCAAGTCCACAGAGTCAGTACATCACAGACTTGTACATCACCTGGCCCCACTAGTTCCTCATCACTACTCCTGGACACCCAGTATTGGAACTGGGGCAGTCCGATGTCTAGTTTGCTAGCTCTGGAAATAGGGGCATTGGTGTGACTTCCTGCTCGCATCATTCTTCTGGCCCTAGTTATTACCCAAGGGAGCAAGACCATCTAGAGGAAGGAATTAAATAAAAAGTCAACAAGATAAGACTATCAGCTTGGAAAATGCCAGGTGTACAATAAATTCTATAGCTTACAAAGATATGACAGGTGGGACAGAAATGGCTGTGCCCATGTGAACATAAAGAGGACCTTTAATCCCAGAATTTTCTCCACTGTAGGAACCAAGGCTTCTCCTCTAGTTACCTGCCGATATAGGTTAACTGAATTTCAGTTTCTAGCATACATTCTAGAATGGATAGGTAAAGCTGCCCCTTTTCATTGACCATACTGGTTTTATGACAGAATAAAAAGCAAAATGAAAAGCCACTGGCTCTCAGGGCTACTTCTTTGAGCACATAGACCAAACTACACAATTAACTCTCCTAGTTCAACAGACCATGCACAGAAAGTAAAAGAGGGCACTAAAAGTCTGAAGCAGAAAGAGGTGATAAAAAGCCTGAAGTCAACAGTCAGGGAGACTCACATCACTCCTTCAAGGAGAAGAAAATACTGTAGAACATTTGAGCACTGCAAACTAGTACACTGTGGGTGACTGGATGACAGGCTTGGCCAAAAAAAAAAAAAAAAAAAAAAAAAGAATCATATAGACATTCAAGAGTACGTTCCTGTTGTCTTTGGGGGCATGGCAGGGTGTGCCCACTGTTTATTACACTTTCCTGATAGAGTTTAACATAATGAACCATAAGGAACTGAACCTAAACACATAGGATTTTTTCATTCACAGTTTGAGGGATGGAATTTTTTTCTCCCAACCTATGAATGTAGGCAGAAGTGAGCCACATTTATATAACTGGAGGCAGATGACAGAGGAAGGTTGTGTCTAGATCAGCGGTTCTCAACCTGTGGGGTCACCACCCCTTTGGGGTCACATATCAGATAGCCTGCATATCATATATTTACATTATGATTCATAACAGTAGCAAAATTACAGTTGTGATGTAGCAACAAAATAATTTCACTCTTGGGGTTCACGACAACATGAGGACTGTATTAAAGGGCCACAGCATGAGGAAGGTTGAGAACCACTTGTCTAGATGATCCCTCTGACACATTTTCCCAGAAGCCCAGGCAACCATAAGATTACCTGCTGAGGCTCAGAGTCCAATGACATTATAGTCTGACCGGTTTTTCCGAGTCAGCAGGTAACAACTGTTTCAATTCTATGGAAGTAAGTACTTGTTTATGTCTCTCAAGTACTGCAATGTAAGATCCAGTCATTCTCTAAACTGGATTCCACCTATTACCACATCTAGGGTGTAGGGCTCAGAAAACAAAGGATAAAGACACCGGGAAAGAAGCATGAATTGGGACTTCTATGAATAAGTACAGAGTGATTGATAGACACTGGGTTTTAGTATATCTTGTAGAGAAAGTAAACTGAAAGAGCTGAAGGGATTAGAGACAGAACACCACACTATGTGTCAGGAAGTAAATACTTAGGAACGGTCTATTTTTCCCCAGTAGCCTTCCTTCATGAAAGAGACCACCACTTTCCCAGGCAACAGAGTCTAACAGTATAGCAGGTTCTGATTTGTCACTTCCTTCCAGCCCTTCCCAATTCCAGGGCCTGGGACCTGAACTGAGAGCTCTCAAGAGAAAGAAAATGGTGAAGAGATATTTCAAAAAATGCTCATCGGCGGCAGCAATTAGGGAAATGCAAGTCAAAACAACACTGAGATTCCATCTTACTCCAAGCAGAATAAAGACCAACAGATCAACCAACAACAATGCCGGAGAGGGTGTGGGGAAAAGGGAACCCTTCTTCTCTGTTGGTAGGGTTGCAGACTGCTGTAGATAATATGGAAATTTGTGTGGCGAACACTCAAAAAGCCAGAAGTTAATCTACTGTATGACTCAGCTATATCACTTGTTGGCAATGTGCCTAAAGAACTATGCAACGTGTTCACCGTGGCTCTATTGACAGTATCTAGGAAATAAAAAATTAAACGCTCTTCAATCAACAAAGGCATAATGAAATGTAGTTCAAACACACTATAGAATATTATTCACTTATTCAAATAAAAGTGACATCATTACTCTGAAGGTAAATGGATGGAACTAGGAAAGATTATATTGAGTGAGTTAACCCAGGCCCCAAATGACAAACATCCTAAGTTCTCTCTCACTGGTGGCCCCTAATGTGAGTGCATATCCTGAAAGAACTGCAGAAACCAACACAGTAAAAAGAGACCATAGCGGGGGTAGGGAGTTGGATGAGCCAGAGAGAAGGGAATAGCAAGGTAGAAGTGATTTGGTTGGGCAAATGGAGGAAAAGGTAAGGACCTAGTTAGGGAGGGAGAGGGAAATAAAACTAAAAGATGGGTAAAATAACTAGTGAACTCACGAGATCAGATAAGAACCTACAACTGCCACTTTACTAAGTCAACATAATCCCTAAATTGATACACTCCAAATATCGGTCCTTAACACTCACACATAAGTGTAGTCTTCACCTCTCATCAAAGAATCTTCTCTTTGTAACAGGAGACCATTTTAGAAAACCTCAACCAACTAAAATGCCAAGCTGTGGAGCCCAGTCCCAAGGTCTACACGTATCCCCACACCTAAGTCTCAGGGAACATTGTGGAAGCGAGGGAAAGAAAAATTGTAAAAGCCAGAGGATCAGGAACTTTGCTGTGAGACTGTGTCACCATCTCAAGTTGCATCAGAAGTTCCAGCCACAAAATTTCACCATGACTACTTAGCCATGAGCTGAACATGGACAACAACAGCAGACATGCCAAACTGGATGAGGGAAAGTCCTGAGGTCTCTCCTCTACACAAAGAACTCAAGACAACTAAGGAAGGCTGACAGCAGGAGAAACAGTCTTCCTCAGGGAAGAACACACCAATTGGTTATTCAGGGATAGCCCTGAAAACACACATACAAGTAACATTATACAGCCTGAGCAGACTATATATATATATATATATATATATATATATATATATATATATATATACACACATACATACGTATGTATATATATATGTATATATATACATATCTTTATATACACATATTTGCCTGTAACAATTAATGAATAGGAGGGCATGCATTTGAAATAGAGCAAGAAAAAGTATATGGGAGGATTTGGAGGAAGGAGAAGAAAGGAGGAAATGCTGTAATTTTATTGCCATCTCAGAAATAAAAATTTTAAATATCAATGAACTGAACACAGTTCCCAAGAGAAGAAACACAAATGGCATAGATATGTACACACACACATATATATATTTTCAATGTCCTCAGCCACTAGGAAAACACAAATTAAAGCTACTTTGATAGCTATGGAGATGGCTCAGGGGTTAAAAGCACTTGCTGCTTTGCAGAGGACACGGGTTAATTTCCCAGCACCCACACCGCAGTCTGTGAAAGCCACCCCAGACTGCAGATCCAGGAGACTGGACACACAGTGCACACATGTAGGCAAAACAGGCAGACGCGGAAAATAATGATACATAAATCTTGAAAAAAAAACTACTTAGAGATTCTATTACCCTCTAATCAAAATAGCTAGTAGCAAGAAAAGAATGACAACAATGCTGGCAAGGATGTGGAGAATAAAGAACCATTATTTGCTGTTGGCAGGAGAGTGAACTAATGCAACCACAACGGAAATCAGTACAGAGGTTTTTAATATGTCTATACTGCATACATTCATCACTGCAGTATTCACAATGGCCAGGGAACAAAAACAGACCACACGTCCATCAGCAGATGAAATGATAAAGAAAATACACACAACAGGATTTTATTCAGCTATAAATAAAAATGAAATAATGGCATTTGGCAGAAAAAAAAAGGCTTAATTGGAAATCTTTACATTAAGCAAAGTATGCCAACCTCAGAAAGACAAATACCATGTTTTCTCTTGTATGCAGATGTTATACTTTAATATTTGTGTGTGAATGTATGAGAGTGGTGTGTGTGTGTGTGTGCACGTGCGTGTTTATATGGGGGATAAGTTATAAACTTAGAAAGAGGACCTCAAGAGGAGTAGAGATCTTAAGGAGAAAGGAAAAGGAGGGTAATGAAATATATGTCACTTTAAAGGCGAAGGGGCTCCTGGGGAAGAGGAAGGGGAGCAGCAGGGGGAGCAGAAGGACAGGTGATGGAGTCCAGAGGACAAGTAAGAGCAAAGTGTTATGAAAGTTCCAAAAGTAGAGCCATGCTATGCATGCTAACTTAAAAACCGATTTAAAATACCTCACTGTGGAGATGTTTAGATGAAAAGAGCCTGCCCGTGGAAGCTGTGCATCAGGAAGGGATGCTGAAGACGAGGGTCACAGTTTCCATTACCACCGGCCCTCTGAAGCATGGGTCAGAACAGAGCTCTTCTATAAAGTTGGTGGATAACAATTTCCCCGTGTCTGCAGAAGAAAGTCCAATCGCTTTACCAAGGTCCCTCAGAATTCAGGTCCAATAATCTTTCCAACAGCACCTTTCGTACATACACCAACTCAACCATGGAAAATGAGATTAAGAAGTACACATCTCTTCTAAAAATCAACCAGATTCCCCAACCAGAACTAAGCATCTTTTTCTTACGCATATTAGGACCCTTTACATGAATCTCGCCCAGAGCATTTATTTGTCAGTTTCTGCTTTAGACTGCACAATTGCCCGTTGGGTTCCAAGGTGATTGATTCTAGGTCTCCTCACCCTTAAGGATACCAAAATTTGAAGATGCTTAGATTCTTTACATAGAGTGTCACAGTCTTCACATGCTAGCTATGCGCTTCTTAAATACATTAACTTATCTCTAATACCTAGCATTTGTAAATGCTACATAAATCGTAGCTGTGCTGTATTGTTTAGAGAATAATAACATTAAAATGAATACAAACATGCTCAGTTTGAATGAAATTTCATTTCTTATGTTATTTTTGATGTACTGTTAGTTGAGTCCACACATGTGGATCCCGAGGTACAGAACAGATTATCTATTTATAGTTATTTGTTAAATCTTCACTGCCTATCCAAGGGTGTGTGAGACCCTTGAATTTATTTCTTTGGACCAAACAAGCAGCTTTCAAGTAGCAATACAATTAACCCCATATTGGTGGAAAAACAGATTCTAGCAAATCTTAAGCAGGAAATTCAATGCCTGTAATTGTCCATGTTGCCTGATGCCTTTTATGGTGTTACTCATAAACCATACCCAACAGGTAAAATTCCTTTAAATTCCTTCTTAGTGGTTTCAGAATAATTTATCTATAATATGCCTCACAGGCCCAGCACAGTACTCTCTCTATGCAAGAAAAAGATTTAAGAATTGTTGAGCAACTAAAAGATAACATTAAGTCTTTTGGCCTCTATGGCCCTCAATTCCTGTGTTACAAAACTGGGAGTCCCATAGAACCCAATTACATACTGGGCAGAGAACAACTTATCTCAACTTTGCCCGAATGGATGTGCCAGGCATTTTTTTATGCAGTGCGTGGGTTTGCAAGTCCACTTTGCAGCTGGTCAGGCTAAAGCAGAATACACTTGCAGCGGTAAACCCAGGATTCCTGCTCTCACCTAATATGTACTAGTGCTTCTGGGCCCAAGAAAATCAAATGAAAAACCATTAGAAATGGTAAACACACTTTTAGGATATGGTAGGTACCAACATAAACAATACATGGTGTTTGTGTGTGTACATGATGCCGCTGGCTACCTCTGAGAAGATGTACACACTATGTATTTATAAAAGACAGAAAATAAATGCTCTCATCTCATCAATCAAAACACATTAATGGAATAAAAAAGCTTCAGGCAAAAATGGAAAAAAAATTAAATACCTACAAATAATTTGAAGAAACAGGCAGACTACACACATAAAATTATACTAAAAGATATTTTAAGAGCCACTAAAAAAATGCATAAAAAGACCACTTTTCTTCCAGAAGGACTTGGTAATAGAAAGATGGACCTTTTTCCAAAACTAATCATGATAATTAACACAATCTCAATTCAACTTACCCCAAGAAGAAACAATACAGTTAACAACTGTGCATTTGCATATAAATTGATACAATCTTAGCAGGTAATACCAAGGAAACCCCTTTGGCTGGGGAAAGCAAGATGTGCTACTTAAAACCAGTAAGAATTTCTCACTTAAATTCTGTTTGTAATGGGGGGGGGGGGGGGATAAATGGGAAGAGAAGGACAACTATATTGATTCAAATTATGGAAAATACACACAGTATGACCGTTTTATTTTGCATAGAGAACATAATTTAATGAAATTGAGAAGAAAGGCCTGAGAGAAGGAGGTTTCCTGCAGGCTTTCTACATGCCTATAGAGAACATGTATGACCTCAATGACCGGAACTCAAAATTTACTCAACACTGAGTCTTGTGACGGGCACATGGACAATGAGGGTAGTAGCAAGGAAGCCTAAATCCTCTTTAACCCCTAATTTAATTTGTCACATTTATTGTGTATTATATTTGTATATTCGTGGCTTATCATTATTAACATATTAATTTTTAGTTATATTGAGACAGGGTCTTGTAATGAAGTTCGGATTGGCTTGAAGTAGAGATTCTCTTCCCTAGGACTGGCAAGCCTGTGCTACCATGCCCAGATCATTTCTACGTAGTTTGACGCCATGGCTCTGTTGTTTTAATTGGAGACTTTATAACACGCACTATTCTCTTATTAGGCATATTTTTCTCTCATGACCCAGCATAATTCTCCTGGCTTTTAAAAAAACAACTTTAGTCCACAGCCATACGGCCCTGAACACCCCTACTCTTGTCTAAAAACATCTTCATCGAGGCACACTTCGTTACAACAAAATGTACCGTTTAATTGTTCAAACAGTTCGAATTTTCGTGAAATTCATAGTCAGATAACTACCGTCACATTAAAAAAAAAAAAGCTGATGAAAGTATTTTCAATAGTGTTTTGAATAATAATCAGAAAAACTCCAAATAAATGTACTCCAATTAAAACATGGGGGAAAGATTTACTATTCCATCCATAAGAATTCAAAAGACTAACACACTGGCAATCAGCTATTAATTCCTATGGGTAAAAACCAAGCAAAATTACATACCATTATTCTACATTTTTAATAAAAACTTCAAATGTAAAAAAAAAAAATCAAAGGTTAAACAGAAGCTCAACAAGCTAGAAGATGTAGTGTTATTTATAATTTGTTATTTTTAAAATGTTTTGCTTCGTGATTATCATTTCCATTTTTTCTGATTCTCGTCATGTTAAGCGTTAGACACACGCTGCTTGCTCTTATGACCTCATAAGCTACGTGGGCATAAGGACCCTCTTGGAATCCGCTCCTAAAACAACTAGTTCCCTGACACGATTTATTTCTCTTGGGGGAAAAAGAGGCGCGCACTCGCGCGCGCACACACCTGCCGATTTTGCCGACAGTCCGCATGGTGAGATCATCAGTGAGGACCCTCCGTGCTCCCCGTAGGGAGAGCAAGGGCCGAGCAGGAGATGCCAGGTCCCAGGGAAGGGCGGGGTTCAAGCCCCACGACAACCCCGAGCGCAGTGCGGCACGGGCGACGCCTGGGCACGAGAGCCAGCGCGGGGGCCAGGACACACACATCCATCCTAATGATCACTTTAGAGGAAATAACAGCCAAGGAGGAGCCGAAGCTCGACCTCCGGGGTCGCCGCTGACCTTGGAAAATCCCCGCTGCCCTCCGGTGTCAGTTTTCCCACCTGCAGGCCGAGACTGCGTGTCCGTCGCGGTGGCGTTCTGAGAACGGGCGTTCCCGGGAGCGGGAGGGGCGCCTTCCCGGGTCACCTTCGCGGGAGGACGCGCCCCGCCGGGGACGCGCGGAGGGGCGTCCGCTCCCGGGCATCCATTAGGCTGCCGCGCTCGGGCGGCCCGCGCGGCCGGCTCGCGCCGGGCTCCCGGGCTGCAGCCCTCGGCCTGGTGACGACGCGGCGGCCCGGCGGGCGACCACGGCCGAGCGAGGCGCACCCGCCCTGTGCCGCAGACGCGCCGAGGGCGGGGCCGCGGCCGAGCCAGCCCGCGGGGCGCACGGCGGGGGCCGCAGGCCTCGGGGGCACCACTCCCCGCTCCTGCCGTCGCTCCCGCAGCGCGTCCCCTCGCCGGCGCGCCTCTCCGCGACACCGGCCGGGCAGGAAACCTACCCCGTGGAGGCGGTCGGCTGCGTCCCGGCTTGCCAAGGCCACCACCGCTGTAGCTCAGGCTAGTTGACCTCGGTGGTGTCGCCTTCGCCGAACCCCCGCCAGGCCCGGAGTAGCGGAAGCCTTGCCTCCTCGCGCAGCCGGCTCAGGCGCAGGACTCCGCTCGCTCTGCCAGGCCATGTGACCTGCGAGCTGTGGAGCGACTGCAGCCCCCAAAGCTGGATCGGGAGCGGGGGTGGGGGATGGCAAGAGGCGCCAACTGATGGGCAGCGAGGGAAAAGCAGGGTCTCCCCCACACACACCCCCTCCCAGGTCAGGATAACATGACGGTTGTCCCTTTTGTGAGGGCGCTACAAACCTACCTTTTATTCCATCAGGTGGGCACACGAAGAAAGATGTATTTTAATGAAACATCTCACCTTTTGCGGATTGCGTAGAAAAGCTATTTCTCTGTTTCTGAATGGGCTTCAGTCTTTCAAATGCTTTCTGTGTAAATGCAAAGCCCCTGGGAAACATAACTGGAGATGGGAAGGAAAATACATACACTGGGATAGAATAATCCCTATAGTGCAACACAGGGAAAACATAAATGACTCAAGAAAGGGGGGGAAAAAGTGCGTGTCTAAGGAAAGGTAACAGCCAGCTCTGCACCTTGTCCTTACCAGGGCTGTCACCACCATGCATTTTTTATGGCCATTTTTATTGTTTCTAATTCTATGTCAGTTTGCCTGTCTAGGCCAAGATTTAAATGAACGTTTTGAGGTGTGCATATAATATGAAATTTGAATTTTGTTGATAGTGAAGTCATGCTCTCTGATGATTATCATTTAAATACTCAGGATGCAAGCAAATTGCAAGCTTAGGAGACACCAATAGAAAATATCCAGTAAAATCTACCCTTTCTGTAACTGGGTGCTAGTTTATAGGGCTAAAAGGAGGAAATTCCGTAATTAAATTATTTGCTGTAATAATGAGATCATTATCTTGTTCCCGATTGTTCTGGTTGCTTTCTACTACAGTGGTAAACAATCAGTACTAAAGGCAACTTGGTGAGGAAAGGGTTTATTTCCTTCTACAGCTTAGTCTGCCATGAAGGGAAGTCATGCAGGAACCTAGTGACAGGAACTGAGTGAAGCAGAGATCATGGAGGAGTGCTGCTTCTTAGCTTGGTTTCCATGGTTTGCTCAGCCTTTATCCATACATCTGCCCAGGGGTGGCACATGTCCACAGAGTGGGCTGGACCTTTCTACATCAATCATTACTCAAGGGAACGCCCTACAGGCTTGCCCACAGGCCAATCTGATGGAGGCATTTTTCTCAATTGAGGTTACAGCAGACTCTAGCTGGTGTCAAGTCGACAACAAACGAAATCAGTAATAACACTAGCATGCTGGGCATCTGAATTGTAGCCATATGCAGCTGGAACAAAATTCATTGAGTCTTTCTAAGGAATACACAGATTCTACAGCAGTGTATCTAGCCTGTGGCTAGTGGCCCCTTTGGGGGCCGCAGATCAGATGTATATGTTACGATTCATAACAGAAGCAAAATGACAGCTATGAAGTAGCAACGAAATGATTGGATGGTTGGGGGTCATCACAACGTGAGGAACTGTATTAAAGGGCCACAGCGTTAGGAAGGCTGAGAACTACTGCTGTATAGCCTCTCAGTATCTCTTACTGTTGTCTCACCGCCTGCGTCACACCTGAGCCTTTTGCAGAACACTCAGTACCATCGGTGACTACTGGGCAATGAAGTCTGAGTTATGATCACTCAATTCCAAGTCATAGTTAATTTTAACTATAACTTTGATTTAAAAATGGACCTTCTGGGCAGAAATACTATACAGGAGAGCAAAACAATCCAATAGTTGTTTAAATCTGTAAGGAATAGCCAGGAAGGAAAACACACACCCAGGATTTGATCTACTGTATGCCAGGATGAGTGGCTGCTCCCTCCAAATAGTGCAGTGTCTGCAGGTGTCTGGTTGGTCTCCGAAGAAATACAGTTTAACAGAGAATTAGAATTTAACTGTTGCTGTTGATGGCCTGTACACTTCATATGGGCAGTGGTGAGATCAGCCTTATTGAGATAAACTCCTGTTGCTGAAACCACTCAGAAGCCCTGTTCCTGGGAACATGGCTCTCTGCATGTGAGTCCAGCTTTGTACAAGAATGGTTATGTTTTCTGTCTGATTTAGATTAAAAGTTTGTCTTGTCATTTCTTGTCCAGCTTATATGCTTAGACATGTATTTTTCACTTTCTTGATAGTTAGTGCTTCTCTCTGTATCGTCCCTCCAGTTCTTTTGAGATTATAAGATTTACCTGTAAGAATTTTTTTTTCACTTTAGTCTTCTGAGAATTTTTCTTTAACAGGCCAAAGTAAGACCTATCATGAGGAGTGTTCCACGTGCTCTTGAAGAGATGGCACATCCTGCAGTTGTTTAGCTTTATAGTGGTCTCCTGCTTTAAAGCAGCAAGTACCTTCCTCCCAGGCATAGTATTGTTTACAGCTTCTTTAGTACTGATTTTTTTAGTTCCTCCAACTATGGAAAACTGTCTGTTCAGACCAATGAAGTTTGTGCATTTATCTACTTATTCCTTTCGTTGTTCAAGCTTTTTGTTTCCTATATGTCATCGCTCTGTAGCTGGACATACGGGCACTCCTGATGGCTCTCCTTCTTACCGTTATGGGGTGCCTCTACCTCTGGCAATAGTTTTCTAAAGCTTCTGAGACTAAACCAGCCATCCCAGCTTTCTTCTGTTCCTTTCTCTAGACAACGTTCAATACATTACAGTAAAAACTGGGCATTTCTGGTACCATATTGCAGCAACTCTGAATTCTACTGTTTTTTTTTTTTTTTTTTTCCCCCTGGGGACTATAGGGTTTTGCTCTAATAGACAGTTTACCTGCCTGGTTAGTTATGTTAAATTTCACTCAGTGTGTTTCCTGCAATACCTGACATCTCTGGTGATTTTTTTTTCCTCCTCTCCTTTTGTCCTCCCTCCCCCAGCTTCTGTTGTATTTGCACAGGCTCCCCAATACCCCAGGATGTCTCTTTTGTATTTGAGTAGATCACCTGAACATTTGAGTACAAACTAAATCTAGTTTGGGGGGTTTAGTTTGTTTCTCTGTTTGCTTGTTTTTACAGTCTCTGATCTAAATTTCTAGCTGTTTTTTTTTTTTTTTTTTTTCACTTCCTGCTGATGTCCTGTTACTTCAAACAAGTAAGGCTTCATCTTTGAGCTGCCTAAACAGTACCCACTTGCACACATACAGCAAAGCAAAAGTATCAATCTCACCCAGGGCGGTTTTATCTTTCAAACATAGACCCTCCTCCAATGTGTGTCTAAGGTATTGTTTTAGTTGTCTGCCTCTTTACCTGGGGCATTGCCAATAAGTGAGTAGTTCAGCAGTCAGCTGGGGATGTGGCCTCAGTTTGTACTAAAATTGTGAATCTCATACTGCTGCTGCTCTCTGGCTTCTAGCATTTTGCCATTATTTCTCAGCTCTCTTCTAGCAGTGAACTGTGTCCTCAGCCATCACGTACTTGGTAACCTCTTTTTCTGCTTCAATAGCTGTGAAGATTAAAAAATAAGAAACCAGATTTAAAAAAAAAAAACAAGCAGAAATGTCACATTTTATTATGGGTTGAATCTGGAATGTCCTTGTAGGCTCAGATGTTCAACATTTGGTCCACATATGGTGACAATATTTGGAAAGGTCCTGGAAGCTTCAGACTGGGGTCTACCTGGAGGAAGTTAGTAAACCAGAGCTGGCCTTTGGAAGTTATTTCTGGACCCCAGTCCCTCCAGTGCTTTTTCCTTCTCTCTTCCTTCCTTCCTTCCTTCCTTCCTTCCTTCCTTCCTTCCTTCCTTCCTTCCTTCCTTCCTTTTCTTCTTCTTTTTTTTTTTTTGACAGGGTTTCTCTGTGTAGCCTTGGCTGTAATGGACTTGCTTCATAGACCAGGCTGGCCTTGAGCTCACAGAGATTTGCTTGCCTCTGACACCCCAAGTGCTGGAATTACAGGCGTGTGCCATCGCGCCCAGCTTGTTTCTCTTCTCTTAAGTGTTTTATGTCTGTCATTCTGTCACAATGTGGAGAAAATTGAGTACTTGGTTTATGAAATGGCTGCCTTCTTCAGATTGCTTTTTGGTGCCTTTTACATTTGGCAAGATTTTATAAAGGTCATCTTCAGAGAGTTTGATGAATGAATCCACCCAACTCTTAATAGAAACTGGAGTATTAATTATTTAGATATTCTATAATTAACATCTTTTCTTTTTTAATAAGGATGGCTGGCCTGGAATTCATGGACCAGGCTGTCAATGAACTCACAGAGATCTGTTTATTTCTGCTACCCGAGTGCTGGGATTAAAATTGTCTAGCACTTTGCCTGCCTAGCATTTCTATTTTATTCATGCACCATGCAGGCAGAAGACTAGGCAGATAATGATCTTCAATTGTATATTTAGGCATATTTAGTAGCTGATGTAATCA